AAAGAACTGTTCTTGTTAATTTGATGAAAACATTTTAAATTTCCAGTGCACTCACATCAGAATAACTTTTAGATTTGTTGTTAGAATAATCGATTAATCGAAAAAAATAATCATTAGATTAATCGATTAGAAAATAATCGTTTGGTACAGCACTAATATATTTATGTATATATTTATGTATATATATGCATATGTATAAAATGTGTGTGTGTGTGTGTGTTTCACACACTTCAGGAACAGAAACTTTCAGGGATATTTCAACCATTTTGCAGAAAGGTTTAATGTCAAATTTGTGCACATTTATTTATAAATGACTATGGAATGTTGAAGATTGTAYTTGTAATTAGTTAATTAGAAGATTAATCCTATTTTTAACTGTACTTAGAGAATAAACATGTTKTTTTACCTTTCATTCTTATCTGAAGTTTTATATACTGTATCTGTATATACTGTAGTTTCAAGCTGTCAGACATGGTATATTATAAACCCTGGGTTTTTACAGTCTGAGCTTACTTCATGTCTGATCCACTGCAACCACATTTTACTGTCCTGGTTCTTTATAAGACTGGACAATAAATRCAGATCTGGCTACTGTTCTCTGATTGCAACCATATGAGTCATCTGAAAACTGTTTCACAGTTTGTCTCTGAACAATTTTGGGTGGTTCAGGTGAAACAGGTTGGGGTGACAGCTCGGACATTGTTGTTGTAAGATAAACATTTCCTTAAATGATAAACGCTGAAACTGTCCAATGAGAGGCACTGAGAATGCATACAGGACTCACAAGCTTTTAAAATCAATAAATAATTGTAATGTAATCAGTAAGATCTTTTAGACCAATGGTTCTCTGGCTCTCCAAACTGAAACTGACTTAAACCCAATTCTCACCTAAAAATGAAACCTATTTTTATTCTAACTAACCATCCTCAGTTGGCTCAGAGACACATGGAGGCTGGTGTAGTTTAAAACCTGATGCTTGTATAGATACTGTACATTACTAAAAACTGGACCACAGATGCTGCAGTCTTGGCTGCTCTTCTGCCCCACTACCAATGTCAATCAAATTTCTCCACATTTTGTACCTTTTGATTCTACCAGATCCTGTTTCACTTCACTGGTGCTGATTCAATAGCCATAAGCTCATTGAAACCATCATCCACTCCAGCTACTATGGGCTTCTCAAAATGTTTTTGACTCAATGTTTTCATTAGACATTCATTGGTCCCCACTCGCCACAACCAGAACCAATCACAAGACTTACGTTTGACGTAGTTCACTGTTGGAGCCTGGATTGCAATTTTCATTAACCCCTCACCTTTTGGCTCTCTCTGGGTTTAGCACCAGAATTCACAGTGGTGATTAATTAGCTTTCTTATATAACTTAGAAATAGTTGATACAAAAGCTTCTTCTGAGTATCAGTACCCCCCGCTGCCTCTAGGGGTACGTTTTCGACAGTTTTTGGCAAAGGAGAATGCAAACGTGAGGAGCTGTAAATTGCCGATAATTGCCGCGAATTAGCGAAATTCACGGCATTATACAGGGACGAAAATCTCACTTTTCATGCAGTGAGAAGGATCCATCAGTGAGACCCAGGGCTGTAGAGAAGAGGTGAAAATAAACTGTTATCTGGATATTCACACTCCTGATGAGAAATGTAATGGTCATAAACACAGTGATGGTTCTTTGTGTTGTTGGGTCAACGAGTTGGACCTGTAACTAAAGACAAACGTTAGGATTGATCAGTCCAATGAACAGAGCTGAATAATGTCCCACATTCTTTGCTTCTGTGGTAACTTAACTGAAGACAACGTGGGAGAATTTACAGATTTTAGGATGAATATTTTACTCATTATTAATACTGTAAAAAAAGATAATCCTCATTGTCTGCTACAGTCTTTGAGTTGCACACTTTTTTCAATGTGAATACTCATATGCTTGCTACAGWTTGATTCATTTATTGTATGAAAGTGTTGAAACTATTGTGTTGGTGTTAGCCTTTTACAGAATCATCACACATTTTAATATTAACGGTTGTTGGTTACTTTTTGTAATTTCAATAGAGAATTTGTTCAGTTAGAAAAATGTGTAGTAGTCCAATAACAAAGAAAAACCTTTGAAAAAGGTCAAATTGTCAAAGTATATTTTCTTGTAGTCTCATTATGTTGTAGTAAATATGTTATTATTCTTCTAAACTTTGCAATTTTGTTCCCTCCTGAAGCAAAATTAAGCCGCCCCCTCAGATTTCACCAAGCAAGTCCAGTGGAGGAGAGTTCTGCGTTGCTGCCGTCTTCGCCTCGTCCCGCTCCTGGTTTATCACAAACCCCAGCATGAAAAGAGAGAAAGGTTCGCTCCACATCAGTCTGTGTTCCTGTGGTTTGGAACAAAGAAGTTTATTGAAAACAATGGAAATACAAATGTTTCTGCAGTATTCAATGGTTTAAAATGGATTCACTCATGATTGTGTTGAACTCGTTTCCTCTCAGATCAGTCTCGGCAGTCGGTAGTCGACTCACTCTACATAACCAGCTGCTATGGTAACTTGGTGGAGCATGTCCTGGAGCCGCGACCATTTAGCACCGCGCAAAAGATAAGTGACGATACGCCTTTGGAGCTCAGTACCTCTCCCAGAGCATGCTGGACTTTGGCAAGGTAACACCATGTTGAGTGTTTTCCCTTCAGGAAAGCTTCGGAGCGTTGCTTGTCTTTAAGGTTCTTGACGTTCTGCTGCAGGACTCCACAGTGGAATGAGCTGCAGCCACCCTTCAACTCCAACCATCCTCTGGTGTTGGCCTCGGACCTGGTGCAGTACTATCAGTACCTTCTTGCTGGTGAGTGTTGCTCCAAGCTCAACCGGTGTTMATGTTTTTACACAAACTGCGTCATTTATAACGTTAGTTTAAAAAAACAACAATTGGGCTTTAAATGAACATTTCTAAAGAAGGACATATGAAAAGATGTCATTAAATGTGGATTTCCAACATTTACTTGACAATGGGCTCTTTAATATTTAATTTTGCTTTAATCTTCAGAAGGTCTCACAGGGAAAAATAAGCCGCACATTTATTATGACCCCCGCACGTGAAGCGGAGTCATATTGTTTTCATACCGTTATTTATTTATTTATTTATTTATTTATTTATTTATTTATTTATTTATTTATTTATTTATTTATTCTTTGTTCAGTGATTTATGGTCAACCGTAGCACAAAAAACAGCTGTACCAATCAGCATGAAATTTGGCAGGACTGTAGATGAGTCTGACCTACACTGTGCCAGCCAACGGTTTTACGATACACCCCCTATTTGAGGAGGGGACTCCTTTCAAAGAGGGGGTGTCAGGTCATTGCTTATAACTCAGAAACTGTTCAACATAGGAGCTTTAGATTTCTTTTGTTGTTTAGCTCTGATGAAGGTCTATCCATCAGGTCAACCAATCTCTCCCCCCCCCCCAAAAAAAAAAACAGACCCCCACCCAAACCACTACAATTTTGGGATGCACCTATAGCATGACATTTATTAGGGATAAAGACTTCTGAGTTCTGGTACATTTGTGCGTGCGGGGGTCATTATGTTTCCGTTATGCGGTATCTAGTTTTGTTCTTGTTTTTGTTTATTTATGTATTTATTTTGGGACTTGATCCTTCCTGACAAGACCTAAAAATTCTATAAAAAAGATTTTTTTTTGCTTTTCACAATCGTTTAAAATGAGGGTGAGCTGCAGTAACAGGCTGCCTACCATGGTGCCATCTTAAACAGAAAAAAACTAAAAAACCACACAAGGGAAGATGAGGAAAAAAACAAAAACATCATATTATATCAACACTGTGACACACTATGGTGTTTATGAAAAAAAAAACCTCTGTGTAGGTTAGATTTATTAGCCAGAGGAGTAAGTGAGTTTAGGGGGGCCCGAAGAATCCAGTCCCCTTAACAAACGCAACCAAAGTTCAGAATATTGATGGTAAACTGTTCATTCTGTGAGTCCCCAGCCTACTCAGGAGACCAAAATCAAATGGACGAGAGAGGAGAGTGGGAGGTGTGGGGTTGAGCCTTGTCGACCTAATCCAGCCAGGAAGAATTTAGTCAACAGATCAAGGTCGTTGTTGGGGAGAGCCAGATCCTGTAATCAGTTGTTTTGGGAACAAAAGAGTCAGGCAGATGATAACAATTTTCCATCTGCTTTAATGTCTGCTGGTACATCTCAAGGTGGCAAATCAAATCAGACAAATAGTGTGGACACATTCTGCTGAGCCGATCCATCAGCTTCTCCAAGATTAATTCCATCTGGCCAGCAAAGTCCATGGACCACAGCCGGCCCACGACCCTCAATAGAACCGCTTGCAGACRGAGTCCAGCTCGCTCAAGGCCAATGTCCGAGTGCTGATAAAATACGGCCATCCATCCAGTTGGTCAGTCAGCCAGGAGATGTAAAGCCACAGACGCTGTTTTGTAGAACACCAGGAGACCACCAAGCCAATCTGTGGAATCCAGTGATCAGAATCCAGACATATATCCAGATCCATTCATTGAATATTTATTTCATTAAAAGAAGCAAAACAAAAATCCATTGAAAAACAATGTATGCCTAACACTGAATGAAAGGGCACAGAAAGAAGGAATAGAAAATGTTTGTCCCTTATTAAAAAAAACTACAAACAACAACTTAAGCTTGAACAATCTCCAAATTTGAAAAATTAAACAACATTGCACATCCTTCATATCCTCTCTGCCAAACATTGTGGCAGAGTGGTTTGGAGAGTCGTCTTGTAACCGGAGGGTTGCCGCTTTCACCCCCCATTCCAGCCATCTCAGTTGTTTTGTCCTTGGGCAAGACTTCACCCACCTTGCCTACTGATGGTGATCAGAGGGTCCGATGGCGCCGGTGTATGGCAGCCTCACCTCTGTCAGTGCGCCCCAGGGCAACTGTGGCTACAATGTAGCTTAACCACCATCAGTGGGTGAATGACTATAGTGTAAAACACTTTGGGGTCCTCAGGGGGCTTGATAAAGCGCTATAATAATAAGCCATTTACCATATCCTTATACATTTGACTTAATCGTCTGTTTAAACATAACTGTTATAAACTTTCATATGCTCTGTTTACATCATCAACATACACATTCTTCCAGTTTTGTTTTTAAATTGTCTTTCTGTTTTGATGTACTGTATGTGTTATTTATTGTAGCTGCTTTTCACTGCATTAATAATTTTTATAAATTGTAAAAACTGGCAAATGATCACTTATATCACTCATGATGAGTTTCAGGTGAACTGAGTTGGTTCACCTGAAATTCATCAGACTGAAGAAGTCTCTTGTAGGAGAGCCAAAACATTTCACTAAAGAAGAACCCATCCAGAGGACCTACTTATTGTTTCTTTTTGATTTTAAAGGAGTGCTCAGCTTTTTATCAGCTGTCTGTTTTGGTTCACACGTTTGTTTTCTGTATGTGCTGAGGTTTGAGGTCGGCAGACTTCTGTTTGTGACTGGTTCAGAAAAATAGCTTTGCTTGGAGACCATTTAGTGTCTCAAAAAAGCTCAACTTTTTCAGATAGTTATTGTTTTTTTTTTTTTAAATTCCCTCCTCAGTCCTTTCTGCTTGCTTTTATCAAGTCACGCCTGCACAGCGTTATGGGAGGCTGCGTTCAGCCTGGTTAGCTGTCACCCTGAAAACCCTCTAATTCAATAACTTGTGCAGGGCAGTGAGCACCGTAGGTTGCTGTCTTACAGGCCATTTTACCAAAGTGCAGAGTGCACACGGATGGCCACACATGGATTCAATCCACCCCCATAGAAGAGGATGGCGTTTTAAGCTCATTCCATCATTATAAACATTGAAAATGTGTAATTAGTTTGTGTGGGTGCCTCGGGCCAAGTGGTAGTTATGTTTACACTAATCTTTCGACTCATCTCCATTGATTTCTGCAGTGCTTTGGGTCTAACTGGTAGGACATTTTCTCAAATTAGTGCTAATGGTCTCTCCTAGTGTCAGGGCGATGAGAACGCGTCAGACTGACGGGCTCGGGCGTCAGCCTATTCCACCATTCTCTGCCAGCATGAGCATTGCAACTGGCTGCATAATGAGAGCGATTCGTTGCATTAACATTTACATCCAATTAACAATAGCCAGATAACACCGCCATGGCTCTTTACTCCCGCAGCCAGCCAAGCGTGAAGCAATGTGAGGTCAAGATGTTATAAACATAATTGTTCAACCCCCTGTGCTCTTCTTGTTCTCCTGCCATTTACCCTTCGGGCCTGCATCATAAACACCACCAACTATTGAGTTTCTCTTGGAGTTCCACCTTCCATTTGTGTGCTTTGCACCCAGAGAGAGACTCTCAGCATCCTGTTTCTCAGCATGTGTCCCCCTGCCAGCCTCCTCCTCAGCTCCTACCTCCAGGGTCTGGCAGCACAGTTGAGAAGTGATCCAGGAGAAAGAGTCAATTTGACCTTAGGAGGAATTACAGCACAGCCATAAGTTTCTTGTCTAAGTGCCTCTTGCTGGGCATACAGATTGGGACAGAAGAACTAGATAAGACACAATTCTTACTTGCAGAACAGACTGTGSTATCTGGTTCAAATTTACATAGCCAAGCATTATCACAAAGGAAAACAAGCAGTGTTTCCGTCCGATTTTAATGTGAATTTTGATCGAATTTTTAAAATGTCGAAAAGAGGGATACAAAGAGGAAATGCGAATCAGACGTGTTTCCATCTACTGGCTTAGAGTAAATCAACCAGGCCACGCAAAGTGTAATTACGTCAGACACTGTTGTTACATGTGGCTGTAGTAAACAGGYAGTAAGTTCTGTCATATCAACTACCGTATTTATTCAAGTATAATACGTAAAATTTAATCCATAAAATCGTCCGTAAAGTTGGGGGGTAGTATTATACTCGGATAAATATTTTTACTTATCTATTTTAACTGAAATATCGGCAAAATTATTGAGTCCAGAAATAAGACTGCGTCATAAAAAGCTGTTGAAACGAGCTCACCTCTGACACTTCTCCGTACTTCACAGCGAGATAATAACAGATCCAGGCAGGTGACATGATGTGAAAAAAAAGGGGGAAAGTATTCCTGCATCTTAGTAATGAAAACAAATTAATGACATTAGCGTGTGACCGGGCCGCTCCTGGTACAACAACAAACACATGTTCGTCTGTAATGGCTGCCGTCTACCGGTGTTCTGAAAAAGTTTGTATCCCTGAAAAAAGTTTCCCCACCAGAGGGGGCGCTCGCGAGTAGGAAGTAATCTGCTTTTCCCCCACAAGATGGTCCAAATCTCATGTGAAGTCTCTGACTTTTGTGTTGGCGCCTCCTGGTGGACTATGTGTAAAATGCCAGAATTCATATGATGCTGCTACAGCTGATATACTGTATATTTGTTGTCAAAATACCTTTTAGTACATATGTTGTTAAAATAAAATGAACAGTCTAATGATCATTTTACTGATATGTATAAAGACTGCAAAGGCTGAAAAATCTTGAAGTCTGTATGAAATTGGAGGTAGTTTGAGGATTAAATTTTTTHTGCTTTTTAAGCTCAAAAAAGGGGGCGTCGTATTATACATGAGATTGTATTATACACGAATAAATATGGTACTTTTGGCGATGTTGCATGCTGTCAGGAGATGTAGAAAAAATGCAACTATCTTCACGTTATGGGAATATCCAGGAAGACGCCAACAGCAGGAGGAGGGTCCAGGTGCATACACAACAGCTGGAACATCCGATCAACCATATGAGGTAAATGTTCGCTACGTCAGAACTTAGTCTCCACGTGTTTCCATCTCCCCTTTTGCACATTAACTCTTCTTTGGAAAATCCAAATGATGATGTTTTGAATAATTTGGGAAAGTTTTTGCAAACACGGCCATTTCCATCCACCTTTTCCAAAGCAATACTTCAAAATGCYCATAAAAATATCATTGATAGAAGCATGTCTACAGAAAGATCAAAAAACATTTTGCAGAAAAAAGTATTTGAAGAGCTAGACATTTTTATACATTTATTGTAAAGTTGTGGGGTTTTTTTCTTACGGTCTAATTGCACTTTCGAAAAGTGTGTGCAAGAACCAGAGGTGGCAGCTCTTGACTGGCAAGCCGTGGTCTCTGGTCTCYTGGCTCTATATTGGATGACCCAGGCTGATTAAAAATGTAGCTCACAATGAAAGGAATAGGAAGAGGGGAGGGGAGGAGAGGGGAGGGGAGGACCGAGGTCAGGCCAGACCGGAGCCTCCAGGACGGGAAGATAAAAGACAGCGGTGGCGCCACTTCATGGTCACAATCTCCACCTGTCCATCTGTAGCAGCTACTGGCAGCACTCAGCCCCGCAGAGGATGGCAAGGCACAGCAAATCTTAGAAGAGATAAGGAAGTGAGACAAAGTATACTGTACATTAACAGAGATGCACTACTCTCTACCCATCTGGACCCAGGTTTTTAATGTTCGGGGAAACCTTTTCTGAATAAAGGTCTATAGTGGGGTTTACGCAAATGTATTCATCTAAAAATACATGTTCTTTTTTGTCCTCTGGCCAAATGTGTCAGAGGTTTAGTGAAAGAAAACAAATGAAATTGTGTGTTCAGTACAGACATTTTAAACGTCCAGTCAGCTGAACATTATTTCTGTTCATGAATATTTATCTCTCTGTCCACAGCATGTTTTCAGACACCTCTCCCCCTCATCGCAAAGTTGCTCTAGAGCAAACGAACCAGTGAATAATTTACCACCTGGATTTCTGGCTGGCTCCTCTGAGCCCTGTGATGGTGGCAGGAACAGAGGTTATGCTTTTTGGCCACAGCCCTCTTTCTTTAACTGTCATATAATGTGCTAATCGTGGAGACTGACTGACTGACTGGCTGGCTTGGCAGCTCTCTCGGGATGCCGAGGCCCATGACAGACCAGCTACATTTGCCTTGTCAATAGATCTAATTGCTCCAAGAAAGGGGCCAAAGTGAAGGCTTCGGAGCATCAGGCGCTTGGTAAAAAGAAACCGTGGCGCCATGACTGGGTCAGTAATCAAAGAGAGGCCGAGAAAGGATAGGGTAAGTGTAGTGCTGGCTGAACGGCGGAGCTGTTAGTCGAAGACATTGTGAATGATACATAGTGACTGAGCTTGGTCCACTCAGAGTGCCAGCACCTGTCTACCACAGCACTCAAGCAAAAGAGGAAAGTGTGAGTGGCTGCGTTTCCATTGACCATGAAAATGTGCAAAATAGAATTTCGAAAATAAATTTGCTCAATGGAAACACGTCAATTTAAAAAAAAAA